ATTTCGAACTGGATGATTTAATTACCCACTTGAAGGGACGGATATGAGATTAGAGCAGGCCAAAGGATTGGGTCTTGACCCTATCCACTCTTGGAGACCAAAATCAAATAAAGATTTGAATATGGTAACCTCCTGATAAGATCAGGAGTGGGCTGACCTAATCTGCAGATAAGATTAAGATAATTCCCTATCCAAATATAGATTTGGATTGGGATAGCTCCTAATAGGATTAGGAGGTTTCTTAATCACTATGAAAAAGAGGAGAAACCCTAGTCTTGAATTACCAGAATTCGAACCAAGGGTTTTGAGCGAAAAAATTCTCCTGCGATTTGAGATAGGATCTTAGAGTTCTCCTCCAGCCGCCGCCGCCATTCACTGCCTGGTTCGATCTCTCTGAGAGGGAAAGATCAAGAAGGTGTTCTTGATATCAGTCTTTGCTGAAAGGCTGATTGTGTACGGTGCTCTTCGCTTCCATCGAATTCTTGTGAAGAATTTGGTTCGTAGGACGAACACTGCCGGTTCTGCTCCAGCATCACTGCATCATCTTCAGTGGGAGCAGATCTTGGGAGTATTCTTTGGGCGTGAACACCAGCGTTGGGAGATACCGACTCTCCGTATTAGGTATAACCCTTCCGTTTCTCTTTGGTTCAGATCTGGTTCGGTTTGGTTCGATTATATCCTTGAATATTGTATTCTAAAATCAGGGAATATGATTCCCAGTTGGAAGGGAGGAGAGAAATTTTTGAAATTCGCCCACCCTATTCCGCTGCATTCCTTGCGTCCATACGATGGATCTCTCCCTCCTTTCACCCTTCTCGGTGACAGTCCCCCTCGTGGATCTGCCACCGGGGGCGAAATACCTAGGTGAGGCGCTCAGCCTCCCTAGCTCGATCTTGTGCAAACGCATGGGCGAATGAAGCCCCTGCGGGACACCCCTTCGTAGGGGGCTTCTTTGCCACAACTACCTCAATAGGCCGATCTTCAAGCACGAACTTCTTCGGCAACCGATCTCACAGAGCCTCCCCATCTGACCTCTTCTTCCCTCCCCTCGGCTGGCTTCTTCCCTTGGTCCCCTTGGCCGTTTGGGACTTGCTGCGGGTTGGCCCCCTTAGAGGGAGCGGGCACCCGATCACCCCTCACGGGTGCCACCTTGGCAGGCCTCTTCGGCGCCTACCCTCCTGGCGTACTGCCCCCTTGGGCCTTCTTCCTCACCCGGACACTCTCCAACAACAACTTCTTCGCGTCCACGAAAACCTCTACAAGCAAGCACAAAAAACACACAAGTCAATAAACTGATAAAGATAATGGGAACATGTTAAGAGACTACAGGACCTCTCTTACATGGGAGCAGGGCTAAGCCATGCGAACACCAAATGAAGCTCCACCTCCACCAAGGGCTTGGCGTTGACTTTCCCTAGTACGAGTAGGTGGGCTATGTCAGTGGCCTCATCGTTCCTAAGTGTGGGGTCGCACCTCTCCACCATCGTATAGGCCTCTCCCCACCATGACCTGAACGACCAACCCTCAGGGCAAGAAATGTAGAAGAACTTATCCTTCCAATTATGGATGGACGAGGGGTTGTCAATAGGCAAACCCCTTCGAGGCTGAAGGTAATACATGCTGGCCTCAGAGGTGTGCTTCCTCGACGCAAACATGGCACGGAACAACTTAGGCGTCAACTCCATGTCTTGAAGCCGAGCCACTACCAGCATGGCAACCATGGTTCAGAGGGCATTGGGGACGAGTTGGCTGATGATGATCGCGTACAACCTCAGCAACTCAGAAATCAAAAGGTGAAGGGGGAACCTAAGGCCAACTTCCGGTCACCGACATTGGGTACTCTAAGTGAGTAGAACTGAGGTATGTAAAACCACCTGGTCAGAGTCTTCACCTGGTCCACGTCTAGAGTATTGTCAAAATCCAAATACGACAGGTTGGCCAAGGCCACCCCTCGGGCAGCTCACTTTGCCGCCCCCCTCAGATTGAGCTCAGGGACCTACTCACCCAAGTCTAGAGGAGACCCCTCCGGCTCCCTCAACGTCACGGATGTGGTGCTCTCACAGGGAGGGTCATTGCCTCGACGGCTGCCCTCGGCACTCCCAGAAGCCATCCTCTCCTTCAGCACCTCCACTTCTCACCCAAGGGAGACCTTGATAATCAACAGCCCCAAATTGGAGCTAAGAGGAGTGGGAGTTTGAGGAGAACTCCCCCCCCCCCTAGATGAAGTGTGTGTTAGCCAAAGGTTATGAAAGCGGAAATCACTCGATAGCAAGGGTGCCTAAAGTCAAATGACGAAGAAAAACTATGACTAAGGCCCCTATTTATAGAAGAACAAATGGCCCAGATCCAGTCAGATCCAATGGTCGTGAAGCCTCCTCCTTCGTTGCCCACCCATGGCGTGACACTCGGCACTCAACCTCGGGGAGACGAAACGATGTCGGCCGAACCGACAACTCCATTCGCCGCAACCCGCTGGTTCGATCCCGTTGACCCAACGAATGTGTGGACCAGCTCACCCAGACCACCCATCCTGCCTACGGAGGGCTCTCGTCACGTGTGACCCATATGGGGAACGGCTCCGATGCAACAACCCACGCAAGCACAAGGCATGGACTCGGCTTCTCCAAACCCTCCTGCACGAACATCCCGGCCAGAGCCAAGGCCCCAATATCTTTGCTCGTCCACCACAAATAAGAGACCAGGCCGAAGCATACGCAAAATGAACACGATGCCACTGTAGTGTACACCTCGTAGGATGAACCCAATGGCACCTACTGATGTCAACACACCCTTTGGCCGAAGCCGAAGCCGAAGCCCTATCCAAGCCTCTGCCTCCGCCTCGGGACCGAGAGGCAAGTGATGTAGGTGCATTCAAATGGCCAATACAGTGCTGACGCGTGTCAGCTAGCTGGTGATAGCATAGGGTCGCCATAAGGATGCGCGGAGCCATTCGGTACAAACCAAACGAGCCCAATCGCAGGATGCCGCGTGGCTCCACTGGAATATCTCACCCAGCCCTCGTACGGCTCACATATAGGCCATCCAAGCCTAGCTACTCCCAGGCTTTTCTAACTATAAATGCAAGGCTCCTCCCACAAGGTAGGGGGGCTGGAACCTTTGAGACCTCTCATATTCTCTTCCTTGAGGACTTAGTGCTACTAGTGAACTCGTCTGGGCCCCTCGGCTCTAGACTTACTGTTTACTTCTTGCGGACACTAACTTGACCGTCGGAGTCCTTTCCACCCGAGGCCTCTGACACTTTCTTCCTTTTAGAGCAATTTATGAGAGCTCCTCCAGACCCCTCGTGCGCACAGGCGAGCAGCTATATTTTGGTCTCCTTGAACATCCTTCTCGATACTAGCCCTCGGCTTCTTCAGCATCCAAGGAAGTGATCTGCCTCGGCCTCCAGTCCTCGCCCTCGGCATACCCTCTCTGGATCTTCAAAGCCTTCGGCCATCCTCCGAAGCTCAAGAGTGAATTGACTTTGTTGCCCTCGGCCACACCGAGTACCAATAACTTCTATATCTTAATAAGGAGTTCTCTTTTTTCCAATCGGCATTGTAATCTCAGATTGTCTTGTTGTGAAGTGCAATTATTGGTCTTTTTCTTTGATTCTTGGAGTCAACTCTTACTTTTGGAGTTTTTGGTCTTTTTCAAAGTGTTTTGGTGGATTTTTTATGAAACATTTATGTTGTTCTAGTAACAAAAACACAATTGTTTGCTGCTCAATAGAACACCAGAAACATTCCCTATGAATGTCATCATACGCTATCTAAGGTTTTAAGAATGAAAATGTTTGAGCACCTCTCCCAACTACAGCAAATGCTTGACTAGTTTAATTCCCACTAGTCATTTTAGATGCAAATTGCAGTTTATTTTTGTTTTGGGTTTTACTTTAATCTATTGACAGGTCTTATTTTACTTCATTTGTACTACAATTGAATATAATAAGGTAAAATTTAAACAAAAAATAAATCAGAATCTGCACCCAAATTCTGTCAATTTTTAGKGAAAAGTGCATCTTCAATTCAAATTTACTCAATGTTGATTTTACTTTTTGGTGACAACAGCAAATATTGGCCTCACGGATTTGTTAAAATCATATACCTCATCTGAATTAAGGTGTGGTCTGTTCCCTAGTCTTTGAGAAAGTGAATCAGTCTCAAAGGCTTGCCACTGGCAATTTGGTTTCAATATTATACCTTAGTTGATTAATGGAAAACAAAGAAAACAGTGGTGCTTAATTGGCCATTCTAGCTCTGGTGAGAAGCACAATAAACACACCATAGATACCATCATCTGCACTTGGGGAATGTTTGGCTGCATTGTTTGGAAGGTTGCTTTTCTTATTGTTTTGGCATGTACATCCTTATTATCCAACTTGGCTGATTGAAAACAAGCAAGAGAGTACAAGAGAGGTGATAAGATATCACCCGGAAACAAAAAGAAAATCCTATAACCAACTTCCCTCATCTAAACAAACTTTCCAAACCCCAAAAAGAAAAAAAAAATGGCAAACTTAAAACTCAAACCTTTAGCTTATACAAAAAGCCTACACAAATTAACAACACGGCCATCATATTTATCTACTTATTCAGCTTTTTGTAATCTTTGCTTCTATTAAAGACTTTATTTGTTTTCTTCACCTTTTTACTTGTTGAATAGTGCTTCAAACTTAGTGGGAATGTGGAATAGTGCTTCAAATTTAGTGGGTACTTAGCGGGTGATTATCCACTTTCTAGTTTAATTGCGTATTTTTAGCTAAGGTTAGTTTTGCTGTAAGTCTATTTATTTGGACCCCAAATGTTGCTTTTTTATATATGAATATAATTGGTTGTGGCTTTGTTTTTTAGCATAAAAATTTCAATCCCCCAACAATTTCTTTGGTATCAGAGCCAGGTTGGGTCTCTATCTGGGCAAAGTAAGAGAAAAAAAAAGAGTGAGAGGATCCCAATTGAGTGAAACATGGTGAGGCAAATTGAGAAGAGAGAAATTCTGCCATGGCAAGCAACGAAACAAATTCATCAGCTCTGCCCCTAATTCCAATCTTTAAAGGGGAGAATTATCACTTCTGGAGCCTCAAAATGAAGACCATGTTCACATCTCAAGAACTATGGGACTTGGTGGAGAAGGGATTTGAAGACACAAATCCGACCGAGCCCGATCAACGGTTGCGAGAAACCCATAAGAAGGATGCAAAGGCTCTGTTCCTCATTCAACAGGCTCTTGATGAAAAAATTTTTCCAAGAATTGCAGCAGGTAGCACCTCCACTCAAGCATGGGAGATTCTAAAGCAAGAATTTTTGGGCGACAAGAAGGTAATTACTATAAAACTACAGACCCTTCGTCGTGATTTTGAAACGTTGGCCATGAAAGAAAAAGAATCTGTGCAAGTATTTTTATCTAAGGTGTCTGGGATTGTTAATCATATGAAGTCATATGGTGAAAATGTTAGTAATGAAACTGTTGTGAGTAAGGTTTTGAGGAGTTTAACCTCAAAATTCGATCATGTAGTTGCTGCAATTGAAGAGTCTAAAGACTTGTCTACTTATAATTTTGATGAATTAATGAGTTCTCTATTAGCCCATGAAGTTAGGCTAAGAAGATCCTATGAAAAGGTTGAGGAGAAGGCTTTTCATGTTAAGGGGGAGTCTTCTTACAAGGGAAAGTTAGAAAATTCAGGAGGCCGGGGACAGAGCAGAGGTGGTCGAGGTCATGGTGGCGGTAGAGTAAGAGGCCAATTTGGTGATCAACGCCAACACAAAAGCACCATCCAATGCCGGTATTGCAAGAAATTGGGTCACAAAGAAGTAGGCTGTTGGGTCAAGCAGAAAGATGAGCAGAAACAAGCCAATTTTACAGAGAAAGTTGAAGAGGAGAGCAAGCTATTCACGGCTCATTCTCCTATTGATAATGCTTCCAATGGAGTGTGGTTTCTGGACAGTGGATGCTCCAGCCATATGTCTGGAACAAAGTCTCTTTTTAAAGAACTTGACAAGTCGCAAAAAAGTGAAGTTCGACTCGGAGACAACAAGCAAATGCAAGTTGAAGGGAAATGTACAATTGCCATCAAAACCTCACAAGGTAATGTAAAACTCCTCCATGATGTGCAATATATTCCTAATTTAGCTCATAATTTGTTGAGTGTTGGGCAATTGATAGATGGTGGATACTCTATTTTGTTTGATGATGGTTGTTGTTCTGTTCAAGATAAGAAAACAGGACATATAATAGTTAGCATTCCTATGGCACAAAATAAAATGTTTCGGTTAAAAGTCTCTGAAGTAAGAAATTATACCTTGATTGCTAGAGCTATCGATGCAAAAGTATGGCATTTGCGTTATGGGCCTTTAAATATGAAAGGGCTGAAATTGTTGGCTCAAAAAAATATGGTTGTTGGGTTGCCGAAAATTAATGGTCTTGATTTTTGTGAAGGCTGTGTCTATGGGAAACAAAGTAGAAATTCATTTCCTGTTGAAAAGTCATGAAGGGCTTCTGATTGTCTTGAATTGGTACATGTTGATGTGTGTGGTCCAATGATTATTGAATCATTTGGTGGAAGCAGATATTTTTTGTTATTTACTGATGATTACAGCCGCATGAGTTGGGTGTATTTCTTGAAATTCAAATCAGAAACTTTTGAAACTTTCAAGAAATTCAAAGCATTAGTGGAGAAGCAAAGTGGGCATTGTATAAAGGTGCTCTGTTCTGATAGAGGTGGTGAATTTACTTCTAATGAATTTAATGTTTTCTGTGAAGAAAATGGCATTCACAGGGAGTTGACGGCACCATATTCACCGGAGCAAAATGGTGTGGTTGAGTGGAAGAATCGAACGGTGGTTGAAATGGCAAGAAGCATGATGAAAGCAAGTGGTGTTCCTAATCAGTTTTGGGCAGAAGTAGTGGCAACAACAATATAACTTCTCAATCTCACCTATAAAGGCTGTCATGAACCGGACCCCATATGAAACTTGGAAGGGCAAGAAGCTGCGGGTAAGCCACTTAAAAATTTTTGGTTGTATAGCCTATGCCTTGGTTACTTCTCCAACTTGCAACAAACTTGATGAAAAATAAAAAAAAAAAATGCATTTTTGTTGGCTATAGCCCTCAATCCAAAGCATATAGGTTGTATAACCCTATAAGTGGCAAAGTAATTATAAGCAGGGATGTTAAGTTCAGCGAAGGAGAAACTTGGGCCTGGAACAACGACAATGCAACACCTACAACACCTCAAGTTATAGATGTTAGTATAACCCCTATGACAGAACCTCCAGAACCAGCTAGTCCATATGCTAGTAGCAACAGCTCAACCATTCACTCATCTCCCTCCAGCAACAGTAGCACATCTACTCCAACAAGCTTGCAGTCTTCATCTTCAAGTTCTTCTAATGAAACATCTCCAAGAAAATTCCGATCATTGAGGCACATTTATGCTTCATGTAGCTTTGCTTTGTATGTTTCTGACCCCACTTGTTATGATGAAGTTGCAGAAAGTCAAGTTTGGCAGGATGCAATGAAAAAAGAGATGTCGGTTATTGAAAGAAATGAATCTTGGGAGCTGATCAATCTACCGGAAGGCAAGAATGTTATTGGGCTCAAGTGGGTGTACAAAACAAAGTATCATGCTGACGGTACTATACAGAAACACAAAGCTCGATTGGTGGCAAAAGGGTACTCTCAGCAACAAGGTGTTGACTTTGAAGAAACCTTTTCTCCGGTTGCTTGCTTTGAAATGGTGAGAACCTTTCTACCCTTGGCTGCACAATTAAATTGGGTTGTGTACCAGTTTGATGTTAAATCCACCTTTTTGAATGGAGAACTAGATGAAGAGGTGTATGTTTCTCAACCTGAAGGATTTGTTAGTGGCAATAACAACAAAGTTTACAGGTTAAAGAAGGCTTTATATGGCCTAAAGCAAGCCCTGCGAGCTTGGTATAGCAAGATCGACTCCTACTTTTAGCAGAATGGATTTGAAAGTAATAAAAATGAGCCAAAACTTTATGTGAAGAAGCGAGGTAACTCTGAATTTTTGGTGTTGTGTCTTTATGTCGATGACATAATTTATATGGGGTCTTGTGAGTCTCTTGTTGAGGAATTTATGTCTTGCATGATGAAAAAATTCGAGATGTCAGATTTGGGTTTATTGCATTATTTTCTTGGTTTGGAGGTGAACCAAAGTGCAGATGGGATTTTTATTTCTCAAAGAAAATATGCTAATGATTTGTTGAAAATGTTCAATATGTTAAACTGTAAAACAACTCCAACTCCCATGAATGTGAATTGAGACACTCGTAGCTAATGATGGCACCATAATGGCGAGTGCAAAGTATTTTAGAAGTATGGTTGGCAATTTGAACTACTTGTCTCACACAAGGCCGGATATAGCATTCCCAGTCAGTGTTGTTTCTAGATTTATGTATAGCCCAACAATGCATCACCTCGGGGCAGCAAAGAGAATCCTTCGTTATGTTGCTGGAACTGTTGATTTTGGAATTTGGTACTCAAAAGTATCAGATTTCAAATTTTTGGGTTTTACAAACAGTGACTGGGTAGGTTGTTTGGATGATAGAAAAAGCACTTCCGGCTATGTTTTCTCCCTTAGTTCGGGTGCTATTTCATGGAGTTCAAAGAAGCAAGAGATCGTGGCCTTGTCATCATCAGAAGCGGAATATGTTGTTGCAAGGACATCAATTTGTCAAGCAGTTTGGCTAAGGAGATTGTTAGCTGATTTTTGCCAAGTTCAAGAAGGTGCAACTCAAGTGTTTTGTGACAACAAGGCAACAATCACTATGACAAAAAATTCAGCTTTCCACAATAGAACAAAGCACATTGACATCCGCTATCATTTCATCCGAAATCTGGTTGCTGAAGGAACAATAGCAATGAAGCATTGTGGGACCAATGAGCAAGTAGCTGATGTTCTTACCAAGTCACTGCCACTTGACAGGCACGTGTACTTCAAACTGCAGATGGGAGTAACAAGTTTTGAAGCAAGGGGGAGTGTTGAATAGTGCTTCAAACTTAGTGGGAATGTGGAATAGTGTTTCAAACATAGTGGGAATGTGGAATAGTGCTTCAAATTTAGTGGGTACTTAGTGGGTGATTTACTTCCTAATTGTTAGGCATTATTTTTTAGTTAGTGGACCATGTTTATTCACTTTCTAGTTTAATTGCTTATTTTTAACTAAGGTTAGTTTTGCTGTAAGTCTATTTATTTGGACCCCAGACGTTGCTTTTTTATATATGAACAGAATTGGTTGTGGCTTTGTTTTTTAGCATAAAAATTTCAATCCCCCAACATTACTAGGCCTAACCCCAAATAGTCCCACTTTCAATCTGGCAAAAACTTTCGGCACCTGAATAGTTTGGTGGTTTTCTTTACTTTTGAACCGTCCTATTACATTGGCCATTTTTATCCTCTTTCTGATTCATAGAGTTTGCATTGATCATTTCTAACTCCAAGGCTGTGTTCTCAAAGAGGAAACTACTACAGACTTACCCTGCATATCCACACAACTGCTAACAGCCCATACTGCCCTTGTTAACCTTTCCTGTAGATACCAAACCTGACCAAAATGGTTTCTTCCATATGTTTGTAAGATTTGAGTTTATTATGGTTGAATTGATACATGGGTCTGGATTAGTTGAATGTATCAGAAACACCTGTTATTTGCTATTAATTTTTCATAGGACAGTGATACTTTAATGTTGGATCATTTATATTACGAATATGGGTAACATGAATAGAACCAAAGGATAAGAAAAAATAAAGGAAAAAAGGATCTTTAAAAGACCATACCATTTATTATTCCTTGCTATCTTATTCACAAATTCCATCTTATTGATGATTTTGACCGTTTTTCCTATACATTCCTGTTTTCAGCTGAATTGAAGAAGAAGAATACCAAGGCAAAACCGCCATCCATTAAGACACTTTTTGGTACATTTTTCCTCTATCTTTTTCCTTGTACTTGCTTGAAATATCTCTTTATTTCTTTCTGAAATTTCTCTTAGATATGGTAGTATATAATTAATTAATTGGTAGATTTGGCTCTGCTGACATGCATTATTTGCATACTAGCTAGGAATATTACATAATATTCTGCTCTAAAATAGATTAATATATAAATATATTAAATTAGTAACGTTAATATATAAAATAGATTAATTAATTGGTAGATTTGGCTCTGCCGACATGCATCATTTGATGAATCTGCAATTTTCTTGATCTTTGTTTCAAGCAACCAAAAGAATTTATGATTGGGTAAGGATACTGATTAGTTAAGGATATCTGTGTACTGATTGCCTTAAGCAGCAAGAAGCAATATTGAATGGACGAAATGGAGGGAGGGGACCCCATTTCTTGACTGTTTGTTAACATGAAGCTCGGCTCAAATCAGCTCAAATCCAACTTGGACCTTCTCCCTACTGAAGCTCTCTCTCTCTCTCTCTCTCTCTCTCTCCAGATATGCTCAAGAATTTGAATTACCTGTTCATCCTCTTGATTCCCTTCTGAGTAACTGGGTTCTCAACCTCTATTTGCAATGAATTCATCTTCTTGTTGCCTTCAAGAAAGATACGAGATGCCTTAACTTTTAGCACAGCAAAAGATATTATCCTTCAGCCTCCAGGTGTATATAATTGATAAAGCATAACCATGGAACTACTGTGTCAGTCCTTGAATGACAACCTATTGCAAGTTTAGCATCACCTTCAATCAAAACCTTCCTCCAGCCTTAATATCTCACTAAAATGGGAGCTTCATCTTGGCTTAGGTTTCTCTTCTATATTTCTTTTTAAACAACTTTCTGATGTAGAGCATCCAGGCCATTCCAGAATCCCAGGGACCAAAAGGAAAGCCTGCCAAAAAATCCTAGGAAGACCTTCAAACATTCGCCTTGTGATTCAGAGGGATGTTGCTTGGGACATGCTGAATGTTTACTCTAATTTTATTGAAGCTCAAGAAAGGCGAAGGTAAGAATTCCTCTTATGTACTGAGGATATTATGGTCATTGCATCTCATTTTGTGGAAAAAGGTTTATGCATATGTGAAGGAAAATAAGATCCAAGTGAAAAATGTAGAAAGTATGTGGAGTTACTGAAATAGGAATTCTAGTTATGTTCATTCTTCGATTTATTCAGATTTGCATTGCATTGATGTATGAATTCTTTCTTTAAATTGGCATTTTACTTTGTTGTGTAAGAAAATGTGTTGTGGATCTAAGTCCGGTTGCTGCCTGTATGGATCCGGCTGCTGCCTTACATTTTAGGTCAAAGGCAATGCTTGGCTCCGAATCTAAGTCCACAAGCTCCAAGGCATGTTCTAGATGAAAGCCAATAATGGTAGGCCCATTGCCGTATATGTCCAAGAACTCTGCCCAAGAAGCCAAACCCTCTTTAGGATTCCTCCACAAGCAGCTCAACCTATCATCTTAAGCATTTGTGTCCAAAACAAGAGAATGAGAAACTGATCTCCCTCTTTAGTTTTTTTTTTTTTTTCAAAACTATAAAATCACTGCTTCTAGTGTTACCTGCACAATTGTCTGTGCATAAAGCTTCCCAGACAAAACAGCACCTTCCATTGAAGCCAAGTACTTCTGTTTTGTCTAGTCACCAGCCAGATAGAACCCTTCTATAGGAGATCTCTGTATGGGGCGGCATGGTTCACAATTAGGAACTGTTTTATAAACCGACCTGAATAAAAACATGCAAAAAATCTTTTTTAGGATTTTTCTATATTGATCAAACAAATAACAAACTTGTATTTTGAACTGATGTAATATATGTCTAAGCTGTATCCAAATGCACTACTAATGTGGGCTCTTTAGGCAATCTATGGCTTTCAGAGATGGGTGGTTCATATGGGGAAAGTGGCAACACCATTATCTATGTTTTCTTTTGTATAGCTGAGATTACAGAC